TAATGAGAATCCCCGGTGATGCCAGGGTAATCCTGGAAGGTACTACTAGGGCTGCACGGTGGTCGCCTCACAGCAAGAGGGCCCGGGGTTTGATTCCCAAGGTTGCATGTTCTCCTCGTGGCAGCGTGGGTTCTCTCATCTGTCCATTTTTTAAAAGCCAGTGTCACCGTCTCAAGCTAACAAGAGATATCTTAGCCTGGTTTGTTATTATTATAATAATTTAAACTTTAAATTCAAACAATGTATGCGTTAGTTACATACTAAACATGCTGTTACTGTGTAATACAGCAAATCATACCATAATAAGGCAACATTGAAGAGCGTAAACCAATGTAGAGACTTCTTTAGAGGGAAGCTTCCACTTCCAGCCACAACTTAATGTGTCCAAGCCAACTAATTAATTTTTACGGACAGCTTGGTGGCTAGAACAGCATGATGGATGAGCCAACGCACAGAGGATGGTATAATTTCATTATGAATGATTGATGAATGATCGAGAACATGGTGTCACTGTTAACGCCCTATGTAAAGATATCCTTTAGACTAATGTGACATCCACATATGTCTACAGCCCTTTACAGCTGATAACATGAGGGAACCTACAATAACAGAATAAGATAAATCTGATGTCTGAGTGTCATTAGTTAAGCTACTGACGAATGGAGTGGAAGTGATGAGGTAACACAATAAGGAGGTCCTTATACCATAGGTCTAAACTATTCTGCCCCGTGGATCTCAATCAGCAAGAAAAAGAGGGATGGGAAACATCCAACATCCATCATGGTGACATATTCACCGCCGTGGGAGCAGTATTGTGGATGTCACACATAGAGGCAGCGGCACATTTATGTCAACACATAGAAGAAGGATCACACATACGGATGGATGGTTGAAGAAGAATCAAGCACAAATGCTGGATCCTTCTTCATCCATCCATACTGTATAACTGTAAATTGGAAATCTTCCAAGTAGCTCTATAAAGGTAACCCTCACATGTCTTCCTGACCTTCTGAAATGTGTCTCAGGTGGTGAGCATTTGTCCCTCTGTAGCTTTTGTAATATACGTAGAATGCTCAAGGGACCAATTTTGGACCCTGTTCTAATGAACCATGAATACACTTGATGCTTTGGCTCTATACTGTACTGTGTCTCTGCTATGTAGTGATGTAACCTCTATACGGCTGTAGTAAAGGTTAACAAAGAAAATGTTGTGTAGCAAGTTAATATGATTACATTTGCTGATGAACACTAAATATGAACAATAGATTAGGCTGATGGGAATGTCATTGTTCCCCTGGCAACCCAGAGCTGATTGCCAAGGTTCAGTAATCAACACAGACAGTGATGAAGTAAGAATGTGAGGAATAAGGTTAAAATAAGTTGTGTATTGCTTTGAGCTCAGATCAATCTTGTATATGCACTGGTCAATATGCAAAACAGGCTTGACTGCCAGATTTCCAGTTTCCTGCTTATCCAACCTTCTGAAAGGGGTTTATGAACGCTTTGAGACTGCCTTTCAGGTCTGACGCCCTGATAACATTAACACCTAGAAGCTTCCCTGTACAAACGAGCTGAATTTGATGTTACTGGCCCATTTGGACTGAAACAAAGACAAGGTAGAGGCAGGAACGGGTAGCGCAGAGATCAATGCAATGAAAATGAGGGGAAGAAAATCAGTGAAAATGAGAAGGTGATACACAGCGGTATACTTGTTTTTGTGTCAAACACATTGCATGTCAGTTATGAAGTGTGTCTGTGTTAGGGTTGTTGGAGGGGGCTGATGTTGATTGACAGAACCAGATCTGGAGTTTTTCTTATTCTCTTTCTAGCAGATCTGACATTCAGTCACACAATGTCTCAGGAGATCAAACACTGAATGTGTGTGTGTGTGTGTGTGTGTGTGTGTGTGTGTGTGTGTGTGTGTGTGTGTGTGTGTGTGCAGGATAATATGTGGTTTCTAAGACTTGCATCATGAGCAGGACAGTGAGAAAAATGTGAAGAAATTGACCATTCGAATGTAGTGCATGGCCGTTATGCTGATCTACGTCATATTGTTTGCAATGTGGAGGGATATCGGCAGCTTGTCCAAGGAGTTTTAATTTAGAGGTTATTTAATGCTGTAGTAAAGACAGATACATGAAGACACCTGTGTATGTGATGTCTTCTTTGCCAAATCAAAGCAGAGATAGATAGAGTAAATAAGTAGGAACGAAATAGCTTACTTATTTTACATGGCATAATTCAGTTTGCATTGCCCCTTAATACCCACTTTATATGGTAATGAGACAATATTTGTTTAACTGTGTTTTACATATTTGTGGTTCAAATCTGCTCAGTGTCATATAGTAATGTATTTATAGATTTGATGGACAAAGACCTAGGACCTGTACAATTTGAATATGCATATTGATTGAAAATATAATGTCACGGTCCAAACTCTTTAGGGCAAATTTTTTAATTAAGAAATGTAAAAAATAATAAAAGTCACCTAATGCAACGCAAGTGTAATTCAGTCATTGTACCTGTCATACCAATAATAAACATATTCTCAACAAGAACAAAAAAAACTCAGCTTAGGGCAGCGAGAACTGCTGAGGTTTTTGTCGATACAGACATTATACAATGAGCTTAGTGAAGGTCAGTCAGTATAACAGACTATTGTTCATCTCAGCCAGAATAACAATAGGAAGATATAGCGCTTTCATCCAAAGCTCTTTATAATTTGCCTCTCATTCACCCATTCACACGCACACACACACACACACACCCGACAGCGAGCTACCATGCTACTGCCTGAGCCACCGCTGCCCGGATGAATTTAAAAAACATATTTTCTATGTTTGCTTTTCAGATTTCTTTTGGTTGGGCCTTTATTTTGGAAGTTCATGATTATGCGGCATGTGTCTTATTTATATTTTCCAGCTTTGACGTGCATCAACTCTCCAAGACACTGAAATGTGATCACATTCTGCATGTACAGTATGATGCATCTGGTGTGGGCTCCGGCCGTTAACCACAAGGACCCCCCTTTGATAATAAAATAATCTATTTGGCAGTCTGCTCAATCTGAGTCTGAGAAGTTTAATAATTCTAAAATTGTGGGCACATACATCTCATTCACTTTGTATGTGCCAGTGTGCTTTGTTCTAGAAGCGTGAAAGTAAAGTGTTCTTTTTTTTTCTGCATTGAAAATGAAGAGCTGCAAAGAAGGGTTGCAGAGTCAGAACGTGAGAAAAAGACAGGGAGAAACAGAGCAAGAATTTCAGTTTTGTTTTCAAGAGTCTGACTCAGAGAGAGCGTTAGTATTTGTCTTTTAGTGGATAGAGAAACGGGAGGATAGAGGCAAAATTCTGGCTCTCGCTCTGACAGCGCAATGTTGGGTTTACAGCTATTCTGCTATTTCAGGGTAATTAGGACATAGGGGAATTGTTTGGAAGAAAAAAAGTATTCTGCACACAAAGCCTTGCCCATACATCTTCAGGCTATCTTCTCATTAAGGGCTCTCTGCGGTTCACAGTGTTGTCTATGAGTGGTGAGTGATTATAGAGTGACCAGCTGCTAACCAATGTGTATGCAACATCAGTGTCTTTGAGGTGAGACGCAGGAAAGCCAACACACCTCCGGTAACTGGCAACTGGCTTAAGTTAAGTACCGCCCCAACACTTGGCATCAATTTAACGAGCTCTGCTATCCGTTTGGCTTTTGTCTCAAGCAACAGTGCATCAGTCCTCTTACACCGAGTCGCTTCCTCTGTCCCTCTCGTTCTCCCTCTCTGAGTAATTTAGATGATAAAATCCTCTCCGCTGATGGAATCCAGAGAACGATAACCTCCCCGTCAGCAAGGTAAGACTCCCTAGAGCTCCCAGTATGTGTGCAAGTGTGTTGTAAAAGGCTTGCAATAAGAACAACTGGGCACTAATTAGTGCTTTTCACTCTGCAAACATGCCTATAATGCACCCAAAGGAACATTATTATATCATTGTGCGAATTTATAAGACAAACTACATCTCTCTGCATATCTACGATCACTTCTACATTAGCCTAAATTAATTACGTTATAGGAATTATTGTGGTGGCAGTGACAACCTAAAATGGATAAGAGAGCTTTAGTACAAGCACTTGTCCATCTCTGTATGGATAAAACACTTATCTATGTAGCTTTCAGGCACAAGCACAGATGCACACATGCATACATATTCCCATGAGTTATGTGTGCGAAGGGATTGTTTGTTTTGTGCTCAATGCATTGATGTATGAATGACCATGCATGTGTGTGTGTGTGTGTGCGTGCATGGGTGTCAAATCAGATCTTGTTCTAACATTGTCAACAGAAGACCTAGGAGCCACACCTCTTGGGCACATGGGGTAATCTCTAAAATATAGATCAGAAGCATGAATTTCTGTCAGCCATTTACAAATCTTTTGATGGAAGGTTTAAAGGGCTCCTTTGAACTTCTTCGTTTTTTAATTACAGGCCAACAAACAAAATTCAAATAATAAATTCTCTGTCAAGCAGAGGCATGGGACCGCCCTGAGCTGGTATCAAAAGCCAGTATAACAAGGCAAACTTGTCTTGCCCTTTGCTACTGCAAGCTGCGTACACAAGTAAACATTTGTTTATATGCGATTGAATACGCTTATTTACTTTACTACCATGATACTTGGGTGCCAATTTTATATGTCTTACGATTTTTAATGCTGCGATTCTACAAGATTTGTGACTTGATATTTTGATTCATTGCAATTTTTTTTAAAGGTTTTTTGACACTAGAGCAGGAGAAAAAGTTTAATCATATCAAGAAAAAAAGTTTGATATTCAGAATGTATCTAGTCAGAAATGTCCTGAAGTCAAATTCATCAGTCATTGAATTATGGAGCAATGCGTTTTTATGGGACCTTCAAAAAATACTTGATTTTGTTTCTGTATGTACTCAGTATGTATGTATAGCATATAATAGGCTCATTGTAAAGAAGTGTGTTTATGCTGAAAATAATCCTACCTTGTCGAACATCTCTGGGTGCTATGGCGATTGCTTCATTGGAATGCAGCTCAGTGACACAGCAGTCATCAGGAATGAAAGAACCATTGCTGGAACTGTGGGGCGTCTCCGGGAGCAATGGAATAGGTGGTGCCATGATATTGTGGTTCGGACAGATACATCCTGTCTGGGTCATCCCACAACCATCTCCATCAGAAACCTCCTGGTCTCCATTGTGACCGGTGCGTAAACACTCCTCAAACCATCGGCAGAGCACGCCGCAGGTGAACTGACTGGAGTTCTCATTGTTGATGAGTAACACCTCTACCAGTCTCAGCTCCAGCAATTCCTTCGATACCTGAGGCTCATCCTCTGCTGGATGTCTCGTTAAACATATCTGGACAAAGTTCTTATCAAACTGTAGGAAGGAGTATGGTCCCTCTGAGTTGGATTGGCTGCCACAAAGATCGATGACTTCCTGATCCCTTGCAGCAGGTGTCTGTACGTGAAGGGGACAGCTTTGATTGGCCAGGTGGTGGTCAAGAGAGAGGAGCATGGGGGAGTGCGTCCGGCAGATGATAGGCTGGCGGGTGAAGCGGAGGTAGAGGGAGTACTTGGTGGGATCAGGGTTTTCTAGGGACCAGGAACAGCCCGGTGCCCTGGATGGAAAGAGCTCCCTTAGGGAGAAAGAGCCATAGAGCACCCCAGCTACAAGGCTGGAGCATGGTGAGGAGATGGGCGAGGGGGACCCTTCTACCCCGGTGCTGGGGACGCTGTGGGCAGCCCCATAGGCAGCCTCCGCCAGGGCAGAGAGAGAAGCTGGAGCGAGGGCAGACAAGGCAGCCAGGGCCCCAGCCACAGCCAGGAGGGAGGACAGCACAGACAGACACACCCCACCAGCAGTGTTCATCCTATGACATTCGTCCTGTAGGGGAAGAGAGAAGAGAGGAGGATGGGGAGAGAGGTGGCTGTAGATTAGACACATTATAAAATATCTTCAAATGCAACCTGACAAAACTAACATGACATGTACAAAAGCTGAACTTATCAATATTCCTGTTCAAGTCTAGACCAAAGAAGCATGTCTGGTTGGAAATATTTATGGGCAGATTTCTGTCTTGTCTCAGAGTATAAAATAACCAAGTTCATGGCAGCAGTTCTCGTGACGTTGTTCTTCAAACACACACACTGCCAAAAACAGAAACACATCCCTGCTGGGCTGGATTAAAAGGGTTGATGACTTGGCTTTTGAGACATGCACTGTGGGGCTTGATCTACCCTTTCCTGCTGATACGTGCACACAAACACACTGACAAATGCACGCAAAGACACACACACACACACACACACCAACGCCTGCTGAGCAGCTCCCCCAAGGCTCTGGCAAACTATTACCATCACCGACACAGTAAGGGTCCTCCACCAGCCTGATTTTGTCTCACACAACACACACACACACACACTGCTGACAAAAACCCTATGTACAGCATACAGTGTTTTAGTATTTTGCCTGAAACTACTTCAATACCGACAACATTTTCATATGCCCCGAGTGACTGCTCCATCACTTGAGAGTTTCAAGTGGTTCTGCATAAATGTAGTTTGAGGAGGATGTGTGGGAGATGGGAAATGTTCACACCACTCTACCAAAAACCTTATGGCACAATACCCAGACAACTTCTTTTCTAAAATATCACTGTGCTGAAATCCAAAAAAATACTTTTGACTCAGAGAAACAACTTGAACTGTGATATAAGAAAGATTTAGCAAAACATAAAAAAATGACTGCAGACAACCACAAAACAAGAAACTCTTAGTCCCAAACACCTTTTGTCGGAGCAAACTCTTTACATTTCTTTTAGCAGCTCCTTAGCTAGCAAAGTATCTGGACTACTACTTTCAAGCTAACATGCTACCATCTTGGCGTGCCGCATAATTCAAGTCATATCATACAGATTAAAAGTGCATGCATGTGTGTGTCAAATGGTGTCAGTAAAGTATTACGAATTTCTGAAATCCAATATTTTCAACAAAACACTGCAAAGCCACCACAGTCACGTCAAATGAAACACTGACGCTTATACAGTTAATTTAGCATATTTTATGTGAGCGATTTGTCTATTTGATTTGTTTATAATATTGAAAATACTTTTTTTTTAAGTTACACAGTGAAGCATAGCTTTTTTGTCTACTTTTTGTATCGTGCAGCAAGTAGCCAGCTGTGGAATAATGTGTGCCTGCTCGGTAAGTGCCTTTGTATTCTTCCCATTCTTCTGACATGGCGATAACATAAATTTGGCATTAAATATGAGTTACAATGGAACTAACTGCATGTAAAATAGTATTAGCAGTAATTAGTATGCATTGGTTCCCTTGCTATATTAGTATACCGGCTAGTTAGCTAAAACTGCTATGTACTGAACAAACTAACACACTGCTTTGGTGTAGAGTACAATGCTCAGGTTCAAAACAACTCAGTTTTCTGTTACATTCACCAACATTTGGAAGCAAACGACGTACCTTTCCTCAGAATAATACTGAACCCACCTATACCTAGATAGAGCATACCAAATACTCCTGTACTTGTCTGCATGCATCAAATTTGTCTCCCTACTGCCAACCAAGGTCACTCAACGTGTGACGCAGTCTCTGCATGTGTGGGCCTTTAGAGCAAGCACTCAACTTCACTAAGGCCTAGGTTAATGAAAGCCAGAAGCAGTATGTACTTCACTGGATTTATGTAAGTCGTAAGGCTATCCAACGTTGGACACACAGTCCACAGGGCCTGGGTAAGAGGCCAGGAACTGTGCTTATACCTCACCATGTCAAGAGGTGACCCCACAGAGATTGGACAGTAAGAGGCACTTGGGCTCATAGCACGGTGGGGTTAACGAGAGCTAAAAGCACATGAAAGGCAGACTGAGGATTGAGGGGGATACAAAGCAGGAGAGATGGTGGAGGAGAGGGAATTATTACAATTGTACTGTAATTGTAAACACATGTGCAAAATTATACATTGTGAAAAATAAACAATCTCTTTAAGGTCTTAGGTATTCTACTGATGCTAAGTCAGAGTGATGTACAATGCTAAAAATGGTTTACTGTCTTGCTCAAGGACAATTCACCTCCACAGTATTATGTTATGATGGACAGAGATTGTTTTTTTGCAGAGATTGTTTACCTTGAGGTCACATGAAGGTCTCTGTAACCACTAGTACAACCTGCTGTACATCAGAAATAGTAGAGTGGATTTGGAAAGAGATGGAAATAAATACATTTTACAGAAGCACAGTGCTGCTAATTTGGTTGGAATGCAAAGAAAAAGTGACTCAAAGGGCAATTTGTAGGATTCAAAAAAATAGATTTTAAAAGTGACTTGTTCCTTTTTTTTTCAAGCAAAGTGGCTGACAGCCAGTGTTGGGCAATTTATTTTAAGAATTTCATAAAATAGTACTTGCTAATTTTATTTAAAAGTAATAACCTACTTTACAATAGTACTGTCTCTGTAATGCATTTCTGATTACACAACTTCTGAGTTACCTTCACCAAAATAACCACATAAGTAGGCTGAGGCATTATGAAATAAAAAAGGGTAATGTTTTATGTCACACAAGAAGCTCAAGTTTATTGCAGTCGATTACAGATCCAGTGGTGGACGATATTGTACATAGCAGCGCTTCATCCCAGTGCTGCACATGGTTTTTCTTTCTATGACAATAATATCTTGACAACACATCACCACTCTAACTGCTAACTGTCGTGTGATGGGCTGGAATCTTTGCTTTTAATTTTCTAGTTGGGCTTCTACCAGTTTGTTTGAAACAGTTCTTTCACTTTGAGCACCAAGCGGAGGATGCTTGCCCCCATATTTTGTATGGATGAGCTTGTCACCGCTCACTCTGACAGCTGTAGAGCAAGGAGGAGGATGTGGGGGCATGACACGATCCATCGGAGACAACAATACCGTGAATGTCATCGCCTTGTCTAAGAGCTCTGTTAGACGGAGCCCAGTTCCAGGCCAATGCATGCATTCACATGCAGTGGTTAGGCTACCACTTTGTATTAAAATCCAGCGCTAATATTATCAAGAGCCTTTATTTTTCTTGCCGAAGTGGCGTGGCGTGGATGAAGGAAAAAATGAATGTCAAGTAATCAGTATGCGTTATATTACTTTGTTACTGCTAAAAAAAAGACATGCACACATTAGATACGTGCACCGGCACACTGAACATACTACTGTACATTAGACCACACTAACATACAAGCTTTGTAGTTCCTTTCACTCATCAGGCAGTGTTTACTTTATAAGAGGCTGGTAGTGGTGTGAGACAATAACCATAGCAACACTGTCAACTCCTGGAAAAAGTGTTTTTTTCCTTTTCTGCCGCTCTGTCGCTGTTTGGACTGGGTTTTCCAACACAGGATTCTCATCTGCAGATTGTTCACGAGTAAAATATGACATAAAGGGTTTTTAAACAGCATTGGCTCCGGCTGCTGTGACACTTTCACAAATGCATGGCACGGTTGGGAAGGCTAATGTAGCATGTTGTGAAAAATGCTCAAGGACATAATGCTGTCTGGCATATGATGGGGTTATAGACTATGCTGTTTGAACATGCTCAGATTCTTTCAAACAAATATGCAATGATATAACATCCGTACAGGCTGCAGTGACACATTGCCCGCTAACAATGTGTCACTGAACTGTTAAATCCAGGGAGTCTGTGTGAATATAATGCAATATATTCTAAAGCACAGAACAAACAGCATTTCTGGGTTATTTTTATTTTGCAAAGAATAAAAGTTGATATTGTCATAGACCTATCAAAAGTGAAGATAAATAGAATTATAGGCCAAACCATGCATAGGTAAAACCTTACGCATATTTTACGGATGAGAAAAAGTCAGAAGCGTTAAGCAAATTGTTTTTGGGACAATGAACAATGAATATTCATAGACCCACAGTCTGTGCAAGAGTAGGCCCTAAAGTGCTGTCTCCATGAGGCCATTCTGTCCCACTTCACTCTCAAACAGCACTTTACTCTGGGCAACCATAAATATTCATTAGCTTTGATGTCTTCCTTCCACCTTGACATTAATGTTATCACCAAGGATAGCAAAATATGTATATTCCTCACTCCCTGTCTCTCTTTGCTCAGGGCTCCGTCTTCATTCTTTAATGCAGTGAGGTGACAATATGACTCATCTAATCTTTGTCTTCACTTTAAAACTCAAAGAGAATAGTGCCGGGACACTACAGTTTTAAACTCATGGCACAGCACTGAAAGTATCACTGTCCCCAAATAAGAGATTATTTCACCAAATATTAATTTTACAATTATGAACGCATCAAGTTTTAATGTCTGCTATAGATGTACCCAGATGCTCAAGAACGTATTTTCAGTGGGGTGGTATGGACATGCAAAACAACAACAACAAAAATTAAGCTTTGAACTATTTGGTACAACCCTAGAAACAAACTTAAACTGTATTACCATGTTTTATACACACAAATTCACTGCAGGATAATAGTGTGCATTAAGCTTTGTTAACATCAATAAAAACAACGTTAGCACTGTTCTTGGTGGGCAACCGTATTTCTCTATATTCTACCCATGATTCTGAAAGAGCTTGTTTTTTATTGTTCCTTTTAATTTTAAAAGTCTATTTGTTAAGGCTGAGTGAAAGATGCTGCAACCCCCCTTTACCTTAGTGACGGACATACATATACAGAAACTCAACGCAAAATCACACTCATAAAACATTCCTCTTTTAAATATGCGCTCTCCATGCTCTATGTTTTTTAAGGATTCAAACACACTCTTGGGTAAAGGAATGTTTATATTTGTTCCTCCTACACCCTGTATGTTCTCCTTGATGGTAAAAGCAAATGGGAACTATTACAAATTAGATTTTTTATATATA